GGGAGTGTGGTGTCTGGAACTGCTGCACATCGGTGCAAAGTTCTGCGTTGAAAACAGACAGACAGGCAACAATCATACAAAATGCTTAATAATTTTTTAAAGCTTGGTATCGTAAACATTTCAGTGTGTTAAAATAATGTTTCATTTCATTCAAAGTATACGAAGAAAAATTTTTTTTTTTCAAATTTGTTCTTATCACCCCCTAATTCTAGGAACGTGTCAGTACACAGGATTCATCATTGCATAATGCATGTCCTGCAGTTAGACAATTAGCTAAATTACGTTGTTCCACTGTGAAACAATCAACTCCTCAAACTGTTTGGTCAATTCTTCTACCTGATGGATATAAAGAATTGTACAGACACAAGTTATTGCATAATAGTAATAATGATAATATGAAGAAACCACATACGGTTAATCCTATTTCATCAAGTGTTGAGGAGTCTACTTTACCGTCTACGCCGGATTGTTCTTTGTCTGCTGCAACATCTGGGAATAAGTCAGAAGATTGCCCTCCTCCTCCTCTTCCTACTGATTCCAGTGAATCGGAGAGTAAAGAACATACTACTACTACTTCTAGTAATGATAATTTGTCAACTGAAAAAAATCAATATGATATGATGATTGAACAAGCTAAATGGACTATCGATTGCTTAGAGGCATCATTAAATCCTCGTGGGGTTCGTGAATCCCGTTTACGTAAAACTATTGGACAATTAAGACCATTACTTATCAAGGTGATTGCTATGTGCCCACCTGAATTGATATATCCAATGATAAAAAGTAACCAATCAGGATTCGATGAAAAGGTAATCATTTTGGTGTATCATGATTTTTACTGGGTTCCTTGTGTTCTGCATCACACTGGCATTTTGTTCTGTTCTCTACAGTTCTCTTTAACTGTCCCCTACGATTGGCTCATTGGGTGTTATCTCGTCAAACTCACACAATCTCCTCCATTTCACCATCGGACACATTCCCTACCCATCATTTCCTATTCGGCTTCGACTCGAGTGATGGTCTGCACTGGTTACAGTGTCACCCAACAGCCTCTTTAGCGTGTGTCCGATCCACCTCCATAGTTTTCGTCTTATTTGTTGACCAGTAGGCTCTTAATTCGTTGTTAATTTCCAGAGATTCTTGTTGCTAATTGTTTCAAGGAAACCATCTGATCTTCAGTACGTAGCCGTCGAAGTCAGCTATTGTTAAACGTTTGCCGTAGGCTGTTGGAAATGCCTTTCTTCAAGTTTCTGATCTATATGAATGAACTGGCCCTAGGATTGCCTAATAACTTCCATTTCCTCTATTTTTCCCCTGGACATCCATCTCTTTGTTTCCCATTGGGGAGGGGCTCCAGTGAAGGGGCTGTCCGATGTGTCATATCATTTGATGAATGTCTCATCAAATTATGCCTAATCATATGTGTCCGCCTCTTTCCTCCATATATGTTGGCTGGTTAACTGTCAGGCTTTTCGCTGTAATAATCGAAATGTTAGAAGCACTGTGCAGAATCTAACAAGCAATCAAATGTGGTGATATCTGACCAATTTGCAAATGTTGGGTAAATAAAGCATTGCAAATATGGTGTATCAAATTCGTGTACCTACGATGAATTTGTCCTCATAAACATTCCTTCTAGCCTCATCGTTCTTTTCTTCCTTGCAATCGGAAGCCAGTCAGCCAACCAACACCAACTAGTATTACCCACTAGTCCATGTTGAAGCAGTGATCTAAACGATTGTTTACCTAATCTGACTGTTTTTGACTCACAGTTATTACTCGGGATAGGTTTTTTCATGTACAAGACTGTTGTGAGCAACATTCATTGTGTGTGAAGGCTGAAATACATGGAGTGGGACTCGAACCTGGGACAAAAATGTGTTTGCAAGTGTAGTTAGTGTTTATTGTTAATGTGCGGATTTAGTGCTGAATCGAATTATCTTTGATGGAAGAATTGTTCAAACCACACGGACCACTTTGTGTAGGTCGTTTTGATCAGTTGGCATACCTCTGTGGTCTAAACGTTTCTTCTATTACTAATGTTATTAAAACACAAACTTCGTGCACTATGGGCACCATGGGATACTGCCCAGACGTTCAGATTGAAGGAGGTGGTTGTTTTTAAAGTAGCCACCCTCCAAGCCTTTAACTTTAATTCTAATCCAGCAGGATCTGCAGCTGTCTTTTCATGATTACCGGTGACCGAATTAGGTTCATTTGCCATTCAAATCCACTTGGATTCTATAGCCTATATACACCATGGGTTTAGCATCTTCGTTTCCCAGCTCTCCTGGGATTTTCTGTTTCGAGCGCAATTACCGGGAAGGGATTTTTGGTGTACCAGAGTAAGAGCCACACTTATCGCACGAGGGCTAATGACACAACGTTTGTAGTTGTGTGGGACTCGAATCCGTGACCCATTTAAGCTGAAAACCGATTGCCTTAGTCAATGAGCTACTACATCTCCGCTGGGTAGACTAACATGTCCACCACTGGTTGTTAGCTCCAGACGTTCGCATTCGCTCCTACACTTCATGTGAAGAACACTCACTCTGCGTGAATGCAGTGAAATAGGACTACTTACCTGATAGAGGCTAGGAACACGTGCCTATATGAAGACTACCTACCACGTCATCCATGGGAGCGCATCCATGAATGTGGACAATGAGGTAATCATGTGAAATACTGTTAAATCTTTTGAAACAAGAATATCTTCAAATTTCTTCAAAACATCATGTTTTAAGATGCCAGCATATATCAACTAACCTAGCTGGAATGGGTTGCAAATTCGTTTCTTCAACTTTCGAATTCTGAGTATCTGAGTAATTGACTGATGACTTCATTAAATTTACGTGGGGTTGCGTCAGTTTTTCAGTGCAGACTGCTTGCTAACAAACCGATGCACTCTTAAACCTCGCGCAGTCCACTGACCTGTATTAAGCCAGGAAAAGAGGAGAGGTTAGGCATGAGGCGAGGTACTTCACTCTGTAAAAACAAAATACCACAACTACTGGAGTTTTTGCCTCTGAAGCCCCCTATCTTTCACCACTCGAAAGGAACAAAATAATAAGGATGCAAGAACACTCCTACCTATTTCTTTCCTTGTTAATCTAACAAAATCTGATCTCTAACAGTATTATTTCCTCTTCCTGTGGCGTGTACTACTGATAAGCCGTATCAGTAGTATATTAAGAGCCATTCATCGACCAGTGAAATAACTGTTCCTGAGTTATGTCCTAAGACCTTAGGATTTAATCTTAAACTTATAATAATTGGCTTTTAACTGAATGAATGTTGAGCGTGCGTCAGTGGCACAGCAGTTAAGACGCTCGCCGACGATGCGCATAGTCTGGGTTTCGATCCCCGGTCGCCAACGCACTGCTTTACCTCGATAAGCCAGTAATAAGACTGGTAAAGAGGAAAGGATGAGTGCATGAGGTTGGCAACCTCACATCCTGTAAAAATAATCACCACTTCTACAGAAACTTCAAGCCTCTAGCTTGAAGGCGCCCTATGTTCCACTGGGAACGTGAAGAAATAAAAGAAAATGTGCATTTAGCGAAGGAGACAAAAATGAAATATCATGATGGATTGATGTACGCTCCGAGTCAGACAGCAGTGTATCACACTATATATACAAGTCAGTTACTTCATATTAGTTTCTTTATTGGATATGTCACACAGCGAAACAGTATCATTCTTTACTGGATGACGAGGTTTCGAACACAATTTATTGTTCATAATCATATCAATTATAATCACGCGACTTCGAAACTTGAGGTTTGTAGTTTTCTGTGTTCTCTCCTATTTGTCGCAGTAGAATCCTCCAGATTTCCTCGGAGCGGGTGTTGAATCATTCCTTTAACACGTATTCCCTCTAAGTTGATTCGATAAAGACAGCTTCCGTTATCAATCTCTCCCTACACCCTGCTGTTACATTCGATTTTAAAACTGTCATCTTATCCCCTCCATACTATTGTATGGCTGTATTGTGTCTAATTGCATGTAGTGAGTGATATAGCTGAACTATTCTCCAGATTTCTTATCTTAGCGTCGGGTTAACTAATTTGGATTTTGCTGGGTTTTTATGCTCGGCTAGTCTGACTGACTGTCCCTGTTCTACCAATTTGACGTATGTATTTGATCTGAAAATCATTGCAGCTGGGTATTAGATAAACTAAATTGCTTTGTTTTAAAGGTTCCACAGGATTGCTCCTTTAACCGACAAAGCTTTTTTCTAATTGAGTTTGTGTGTAATGTATCTAATAAACAAACTAAGATGGAATTACTTATTACCACAGTGTCCAAGTTTTGCGCATATATTAATAAGTCAGTTACTATTTTATTTAAAGATGCTGGACGAATAGAAAATATCATAGAATAAAGTCTGCTGAAAATTCTGTAAAATATATAAATCCTGTTCAGAAAATAAAGCTATTATTATTATTATTATTATTATTATTATTATTATTATTATTAACCCAGTTATACTTTTCTGAACTTTTAAACCTTATAGGCAGCAATGGATGCACCTCAAAAACCACCTGTTCCTACTAATAATAGTAATGACAATAATACTGTTTCTCAAGGAAAGTATTGCTCTGCACAGAATACTGAATCAACTACTCAGGCAATTATGTGTTCATGGTTAGAAACAGCTCTTGTCGGTATTGGATATCGTTTAGGTCGATTAGATTTGATAAAACGCTTACTATTCGATGAATCGTGTAAATCTAAAAAAGAATCAATTGAGAATAAAACTAAAACTGAACAGAGTGATGAACAATTGTGTACAGAAGTCTCAGTAGACAAGTATGTGTTTCCTAACCTTTTTTATGTTTTGTTTTTTTGGTATAAAGTTTGCATGCTACTTAAATGTTTGTAAGTAGTGTAAGTTGGAATTGTAAAATTCCTCGCTTATATCTTATACTTAACATTTTACTTGATATTAGTATCATATACTTTCTAAAGAGTGTATTATTTGTGTAAAAGAAAGTGACAGAAAGTATTGTAGAGTAAACACTCTAGTGATAATTAAATTAGAAGGCGAATAGGGAAATAAGGTATTCGTCTTATTGATGCTGACTGACTGGAACTTTGCGCAGAAGATATACAGCAGTTCAATTTGTCACACTGCACATGTATCACGCAAAGAAAGACAAGAGACATAGAGGCAGAGAAATCGATTCAGAGAAAGGGTAGTCAATAGAAATGGCATGGTAACACGCATGTTCTAGTCTTCTCAATCGGTTTAGTTACACAATTTCATCGATTAACCTTCCCTCCCTACCTTAACACTCGATGCACTAAACCCCAATATTACTCATCGTATTATACTACATAACACAGGAAATAGAACACAGTCACTTATGATCAAAGATAGCTAGCCTTTTTCATATCTTCCACTTTCAATCACCATGTCTCAGAGTAATTGTAAAGAAGGACATAACGAACTGCTGCTGCTGCTGCTATGCAGTACACACGTCCTTTAATGGATAACCGGATATCCCATCTACGTTGGGGGTGACGTAAGTTGGTAAATGTCACTGCTTTTATGTAAGCAGTTTAACAGGTTTTCGATTCAATTCTGGATGTATTTAGTGGGCATTGTCATTCACTGATTATCGAATTAGTTTTATGATATACACTATTGGATTCTGGCCCCACGACTAATTATATCATTATTAGTTCACAATATGAAGTCATCCACAACGGGAAACTTACGGAATCCTTCGAAGTGAGGACATGAGTAAGACAAGGCTGTCTATTATCGCCAATGATTTTCCTGATTGCAGTAGATTGGATATTGCGACAAACAGCGGGCAATGAGGAAACAGGCATAAAATGAACTCACACAAAAAACTTAGAAGATCTAGAGTTCACCAATGATATATGTCTGATTTCCCATAAACTGGAAGATATGCAACCGAAAAGCAACAAGTTGGCAGAAGAAGCATCAAAGATCGGAGAGACTTCAGGTGAACATAGAGAAAACAGAGGTGATGAAGATTCCTGGCCAACAGCGACAGCAGCAGCAACAACAACAGACAACAATCAGCATAAATGGGAGGAACCTGAAAGAAACAACCTCTTTTACCTATCTGGGAAGCATCGTCTCAACTACAGGTGGAACTGATGATGATATCAAAGCAAGAATCGAAAAAGTAAGAGAAGCTTTCACTATTCTTAAGTCTGTGTGGAGGTCAGCAGCACTCAGCATGAAAAATACGATCCGGATTTTCAACTCGAATGTAAAGTCAGTACTACTCACTATACGGATCAGAGACTTGGCGCGTCATAAAAAGCATCTCAAACAAACTACAGACCTTCTTTAACAGTTGTCTTCGCTCAATACTCAAGATCAGATGGCCGGCCAGAAAAGATCAGCAACAGAGATCTCTGGCAATGAGCGAACCAACCCAGCAGGAACCGATTGTGAAACAAATAGGCAGGAAGAAATGGAAGTGGATTGGCCATACTCTGAGGAAACCATCAAGTGACATCACTAGACAAACCATTGCTCGAGTGGAACCTGAAAGGGAAGCAGAGAGTTGGTCGTCCAAGGGTGACTTGGAGGTGGTCATGTGAAGAGGAGATGAAAACGTGTGGGCAGACTTGGAGCCGGGTGAAGATTCTAGCAGAGAACCGAACGCAGTGGAGACGCACGGCTGGAGCCCTGTGTTCCTCTGGGAATAAAAGGAAACAATAATAATAATAATAGAGTCATAATTTGCTTACTTTTTATCCTATGGATAGTTTTGGAGTGCAAGATTCATCTTGTTGAATAACAAGAGTTAGTTTATAAGGATTTGTCTCGTTTAAAGTGACTGAATGAATGGTCAACAAGCTTATCTTTTCAACCGGAATGTCCTTGATTCGAGTCCTGGTGCATGTATACTGTTGTTAAAGATTCTGTTACAAGTAGTAGGACTGAAAATCAATCCAAATACTACAGAAACTTTGAAACACAAAAATATTTTTTTTAAAAACCTACTACAACGTGAAAATAAGAAAGAGTCCATTTTTAGAAATTTCTGAAATTGTATAATTCCTTTTTCACCAGTTCTTAAGCTTCTAGGGAATGTACTTTTTTCTCTTTGAGACTTTTGAGAATGTCTGTCCACATATGATGTGGTGTTCATTACCTTAGTGAAAATTATAATCCATAGCCCATTAATAGACCTTGACTGTGCAGCATCATAAACTTTCTAGAGTTCTTGTGAAAAGTCGTGACCTATGGACTTCATCAAGTTGAATATGACAACAGACACTCATTCTATTACATAAGGGACGGTGATGCATTACAACAACTTCTTAGAAGTTAGAAATAGCATATATTTAGAGCGAAAAATAATGTACCATTTTGAACTGGCGTCGTGATAATGCCCCATTCATGAACAGGCAAATGTTAGAAGTCTAAGTTTTGGTTATGCTTCTTCATGTCTTACCTGGGATTTATATCTTTACTATTCTGTCATGTAGTGTTTTCAAGTGGCTTAATGTTCTACGAGCTCGCCTTGTAACCAGAACCCCCTGAGTTCGAACCTTGGTGAGGGTGCGTACTGTTGAAGAGGCCCAATCACTGGGACAAAACAGCTGTCCAGTACTCCCTGCAGGTTTTCCAATATTTCTCTAACTGTTATCAGCTTACGATGAAATCTTCCAACCAACATGGTGTTTTGTATAGAGTTATTTATTAAGAAGGATTATTTTTTGGAGTGAATTTATGTACATCTTAATATAATAAAACTTCTCTCATGCATATATTTCATGCTATGTATGTGTAGACCTAATGATGGGGAAGAGAATGCAGCTGTTGCCTCTACAACAGATGAAGATTGTGCCACTACTACTACTAATACTACTTCTACAACTGCTGCTGCTGCTGTTGACATTCCTGCTAAGCCTTCTCCTTCTTCTTCTGAATTAACAACATCCTCATCGAACAATTGTGTCGCAGAAAATATAAAACGTCTCGCAAAAATACTCCTTCATCTAGGCCATGATGTTAGTCCAAAAGGAATTGCAGGACCATTGGGTGAGTTTCTTAAGTTATTATCATCATAATTATTATTGTTGTTATTGTCTAAAAAGTGTAATAAACTTTACAAACCAACACGATTGAAAAATTAGGCTGCTTCTCACTAACGTGACTGACTGGCTAAAGGAAAGCGTCGTCTGAATTTCTCGTGTGTGGAAAGTCGTGACCAGCGGGGAGGTAAGGAGGGGGGAAGGATTACTCCAAGTTGACATTGGCTGACGCTGGCACTATGTATATATCGCGAATTGGTGGAGATTTGAATTAATGAGCTGGTCATCGGATTCCGTCCCAGTAGCTGAATTTTTTTATATATTTTTTGTTTTTATTTACAGCTTGATTCCACACCGTATTTTCAGTACAAGTGTGGAATTTTCAGCATGGATATCGGTAGCCCAAATTCAGGCCGACCATAGATATCGGGTGTGCGCCGGCAGGGGATCGAACCCCGGACCATGTGCATGATCGGCGAGAGTCCTAACCACTGTGCCACCGACGCACCGACTTGTGCCTACTTTTCAAATTAATAAATATTCTCACTCTTAAAATCTAAACAAAGTATGTTACTATTAGTTGGTCAATATCGTCAACCTGTCTGAGCGTTGGTAATTTAGCGGTAGGAGAGTGCTTGCCAACCACGCCTTACGTCGTGGTTCGGTTTTCGACACACATTCCTTTAATAAGAAAATCTCACTTAGTCTGTAGTGTAAGCCTGATAAAGAGGAAAGGTTGGATATGAGACTAGTGGACTCACCCCGTCACAAGGAATCATACCACTGGTACTGGAGCTCAAAAGCTTGGAGCTCCGTGTTTCATCCGAAATGTGAAGAGTAGAGACAGTATCGGCCTGTCAGGTGGGGGGGGGGCTGGAGAAAGTGATAGTTAACCAAGAAAATTATGCAACACTTAAAGGGCAGAAATAATTGCGAGAATTAAACAAGTGGTGTACAGCAGTGTATAATATTTTGGGAGAAGGAAAGTAATTATGAGATTTCAAATTGATTACGTAATACGACGTTGGAGATGAAGTGGTCATAGAATAACGAGATCCTCAGGATGATGGCTTAGAGTTTGGGGGTAGGGAGAGGGAGGAGGAAATTGTCAGTTGTTTTGTTGATTCATGTAATGCTGGTCAATTTCTTCTGAACGCACAAGTTTGGCTTCTTCGTCAAGTTGATTCTAGTGGCCTCAGTTGTGTATGTAGAGGAGATGAACTCGTCAAGTAACATATATATTATGTATTATACTGAGATAGATAACTGTAAATGCTGCTTGAAAAATCAACTGTATGCCAAGTATATGAATCGGAAACATTTTGAGGAGACCACCTGGTGACATCGCGTTCCAGACCCACGAGTGAAACTCGAGTGGGAAACAACAAGTTGGACATGTTTCCAAAGATGGCATACAGGAGATTTTAGTCTATGGGCCATCGTGGGGCCCGGTGAAGAAGAATTCAGAGGACATGACAAAATGGAGATGTGCTGTTGAATCCCTGTGTTCCCCGCGGTGGAACCTAAGGACTTCTAGAAGTGAAAACTACAAATGCTTCTTGTGTTTGTCCTTTGCACTTAGGGACTCAGGATTCATCAGAAATCCAATGATGTATATGCCTATTTGTTAGCATGCCCAATGTTTAGTAAAGATAGTGTGAAAATGGGGAAAATTCAATAAATTCAATTAGTTACAGGATTTCATCATGAGCTGAAATCGGTTAGAGAACCATTGGAAAACCTACAGGGAGTACTGGACAACTGTTTCGTCCCAGTTTGGAACTCTTCATCAGTATGTATATATATTCATTGCCTTACTTGACAACGTATTCTGAATTAATTTTCATGTGTCTGCATGTATCTTTTTCCTACAGCGAATGATGAAAGAACTCTACGTGGTGGAGGACCTCTGACTAGCATTCCGAGTAAACAATCCAATGATGCAGAAAATACAATTTCAGAAATGATTCCATCTTCTGAAACTACTACTACGACTACGACTACTGATCAGTCTACTCTAACTTCTTCTTCTAATGCTACAAATAATATTCAATCAATAAGAACTACAGGTTGGCAAAGATGGTGTGCTAGTGTTGAACAAGCTAATACAACTTCTCAATTGCATTTATTAGCACGTGCTCTTGAACGTGGAGCTCGTCGAGCTACTCTCGGTGGGAGAGGTGTTTCATCAGCTATCACCAGTTATGTTTCACAACATCCTTTGCCAACTTTAAGGTGTACTTCATGTCGGTAAGTAGTTATTCTTTTTGGAAATTCCAATTCTATAACTTTGTTTTGAGATTTAGTGTGTGTATAGTAGCTGGAAGAAATAGAGATGGATACTGGATAGGCTCTGGGAGGAGAGCTTCAATGGATAGATTATCTAAATAAAAAGTGACGAGTTGGACATGGGTCCTAGGGTATTAACATGGAGAAGATCTTGTCAGAAGCAATTGAAGGCTTGTTGTCTTTCATGGAGTCAGCTAAACCCTGATGCAACAGAAATGTGCCTCTGCGGCTCCTTATGCTCCATTTAAAACCCAATGGTCGTCAATAATCTGATTTGGTGATATTTAGTCTCTGACTGGTCGATTGATTCACTGATTCCAAGCGTTACCTCGACCTATCACATAATCCCTTATCCATTTGGAAACTAGTCCTTGTAGTGGGAGTATGTATTTCGTTGAGTTGTATCACTAGACGCGATTTATAAAGTCTGTGGTTATTGATTTTTGATGTTTATTGGAGCGTTCGGTCTACTGTCTAGCGTTGATAACATAAATGTTATCGATTATTATTATTATTATCATCACATTCCCTTGGGTTACAAGTGGAACACAGGGCTTCAGCAACACATCTTCAGTTTGTCCTCTTCTCTGCAGTCCTCTGTTTTCAGACCCCACAATTGCCCAAAGACTTTTATCTTTTCCACCTCACACAATCTCCTTCATCTCAGCGTCGGACACATGCCAAAATCATCGTTTCCTATTCGCGCCCCTCTCAATCGATGGCCAGCGGTTTCTTCATCAGTATGTCCCCGATCCATCTCCATTTTCTTTGGCATATATTTTGAGCGATAGGTTCTTGATTAATTCGTTCCCAAAGTTTCTTGTCGCTAATTTTTTCTGGCCAGCCAACAGCGAAGGTGGTAGCTGTTGATAAAAGTCGACAGTAGGCTGTTGAAAATGTTTCTGATGACTCCTTCGCCAAGTTTTCGACGCATACAGAAGAGCTGACTGACTTCACATTTGTGTTAAAAATCTAAATTTTGTTGTTTGTCCTGAGTTCAGAAGATTTCAGAACTGATTTCAGAATTATGAAGGTCTCTCTTGCCTTTTGGATTCTGACTGGCTAGCTTTGATATTCTCATCCGTCCTGGTTCACCTGTAGTTGAAAGGATGCAGCCTGGTGAAATAAGTGGAAGCAGTGTCCTCTTCCAAATTTTTCCTGTTCATAGTGAAGTTTTTATATAGTGACTGGATTGATTTTCCGGGGTAGGGTCGCTGACCCCACGTTCAACACCTTCCCACTTTTCCTAGGCTTTAGGGAGAATAGTTAACTAGGCGAGGTTCAAAGAAACTTTGTGATAAATAAAAATGTACGAGACAAAAAATAAATAAATAAATGAAGAATATTAAAGTTTCAATGGATCCAGGAGATCATAAAGTATGATTGCACTTGCGCTGTTCTGGACGATTCTGAGCCATTATGCTTGCCACCAGCCCTGGAACGCCGACTAGACGATGGTCTACACCTCCCTGAGTGGCTCATACCAATCAATGGTCAGAAACTATATGGGTTGATTCTGTGCTTTGGTCTCACCGTCTCTAACTCTTTTCCAACGTATTCTCGTGTGTCAGCCAACACTACTTGAACATACACTTTGAGCTTAAAGCTCAGATATTGGTTAGTGTTTCATCTTGCGATTCACGAGCCAATTAATCACCTGAAACGCACTGACTCTGGCGAAGGCCGGGTTTATTCACACTCCATACAATCTAACAACATACAGATGCACTTCATACCTCCTGGAACAATTGGAGCCTGACAGTGTCGTGGGCCGTTCATACGATCCTGTCCCACGACATTTTTTATTCAACAACTGCGGATATTTATAGCAAACGACAGGCCGTGCATCAACATGTCATGCTCTAACAAACTCAATCGATGTGAATGTGTCAGGTAAGGAGAAAAATTCATTTGATGAGATAGTGAACCTATATCGATTGAGATTTTTGAGACATGTGTTACACATTCCTAGCCATCTCCTTCCTCGATGGGCATTATTAGGATGATCAGGTTCGAAAAGAGCTAGTGGAGGTGATCAAGTGAAAACTTGGAATCATTCCATGAAATCTTTAACAGTTAGTTTGAGCCGGCGACGTAGGGAGGTACGGGCTTCCTGCATGAGGTTGTTAGGATTCTAAGAACCCTTAACTTGAGACTATCGATGCTATATAGCTTGAAATCTCCTTGTTACTGGTGCAGATGCATCATATCCAATAAAATTGTACAGTTCTTTCATATTATTATTATTATTTTTGCCTCACATTTCTGTTTATTATCTCTCTCTCTTTTGAAATTCTACTTCTTTGTGTGCTACATGGAGTGTGGTGACTCAAGCTGCTGCAATTTTCCGCAAAGTTCGATGTTAGTACCCCTATGAGTCAGTCACAATCTTATCGACTCACTATCTAGAACATTGCATCCGTCTTCCCTATTAGTGACTGTATTGTGTCATTTAACACGAGTGGTTGTAACACACTAATTCAAATTGACTCAACTGGATTATCTGCGTTTTCTCAAATGTTGTTCTTAACAATACCTGAGTAGTAACAATATTGTAAATGAGTAATTTGATTCTGTTTTTCATATTGTATTCATTAAACTGATCATTTTGTAAAAAAACTATTTACTATTTTTATGGTTTCCCCCTCCTCCCACATTATATACATTTATAGAGGTCCACCTGATGTTCTTCCTGTATCTACTGCTCCTGGAAATATATCTGCATTTTCTGTTTGCTCTGGTTGTGCATGTCCATACCACTTAGATTGTCTTCTAAATTCCAATAGTCGAAGAATCAGTGCCCGAAGATCTTCACGGCCTAGATTGTCAACTGATCTTGTTATTATGAGCACAAATAATCCCGCCTTCAATAATATTGATTTATCTTTAACTGGCTTCCTAAGTAATTATTCCTCACTGTCGAGTATAACATCAGCTCGTATGGAAGTGACAGGTGGTAGTCTTATCCTGTGTACATATTGTCTTCGTTCAGCTGGTCTTCTGTCATCATCATCACCATCATCATCATCGACTACAACGGCAACAGCAACAACACCAGCGGATGATCATGTTGGAATAAAAAGTTCAAATAGTCAAGCATTTCAATTATCTACTACATTAGTGTATTCAAATGATGATTTTTGTATTAAAGAGGATATTTCACAGGTAAGTGTTCATTGGTTTCACTTTTTCACTTTTGATTCTGTTATTGATTGATTGACTGATCGATTCAATCGAAATGTTCGACTTCAATTGTGACATGTCAGCAGCGCCTAGAATGGGCACTTTGACCTTGACGAGGTTTGATTTTTATTTAACTTGAAGTAATTTGTTGAATGGGATCCAGGGGATGCATATTTCGTTATATTTGCGACTACTTGTCGTCAGCCAGTAGATATATGTACGTCGGTGGCACTGCACTGCGGTTAGGACTCTCGCTGATCATGCACATGGTCCGGGGTTCGATCCCCCTGCCGACGCACATTCGATATCAATCGTCGGCCTAAAAATATTTTGGACTACCGATATCTCATGCTGAAAATTCCATGTTTCTACCAAAAGTACTGTGTTGAATCAAGCGACAAATGAAAGTTTTTGAAAAACTAATTCCTCAGACAATGGATGACGGTGTTCTCACTTTGACTCGAACCCAGTACCACTGATCGTCACCCCCATGACTCATCTACAAGCTGCATTGTTTTTAGATATCGTATTCGGTTACTAACTGTTCTGTTAAAAAAAGAGTGTCATAAAAGCATGGCATTTGTTTCAGCAGAGATGAGATCAGTTTTGGCGTTTAGTTCTATATCGATTTTAGGTTCGAATCTGACTTTCCTTACTTACTTCAGCCGGGATAACTAACTAGGTATTGACATCCAATGCCTCATACCGATAAGTGTGATTTGTAGCCTGGTGTGTCAGTTGAATACACCAAGCAGGAATAGAAGTGAATGCCTCATGTCTCCCCAAGAAGACGCTAAGTCGTTTACAAATAATTTTGTATCCTCATAGTCATATCACAATTAGAAATCGTATTGTGACCCGTACACCCTGAAATCCGCAGCTTATTTTATGGTCATCGCTCTAGCGTAACATCTACTGGGCCTGGTCAGACACCAAAAGGAATACGTAAGGTTGCCCAGCCACGTATCGGATGTAGAATGTATCGTTGTAATCCTTCAGGTGGTAGCTTCGCACTGCTGGCCTTTCGACCAGGAAAATATACCAATTGTCTGGACCTGCTGCTGCTCTAGTACTAAACCACTGATTATTGTACTCATTACTAGGGTAAAACCAACCTGTATCACGATGGTCTAAACCCCTAGCTTACATTCGCTATTTGTGGGTGAACAACGCTTGATGAATCCTGCTTCACAATGATAGGAAAGGTTGACGTTGAAGGATCAGAAAGCGACATCCATATGGTCGTCTGACCGTCACAAGCCAATGTATCCATGTGGAGGTCGTGCTTTCACGGTCGTCCGCATTGCTACTAATGGGTATTTCGTAAATAAGCGAATTCGATTTAAATGTTGTGTTAAATCAGTTCATGCGATAGTAGAGTTGACCGGAATTCAACAAATTCGATTCCTCTGATTTGAGTCAAACGAGGATGGAGGTGAAGGTACACATGCTTGCTTTCTTTGATAACCACCATCTATGGCATCAAGCAGATCACAAAACAGTCACCTGGATAATTCCGGTATCCAAATGAAAGTGTACTGCATGGCAGCAGTTCGATCCGTCCTCCTTTATGCTTGTGAGACCTCGCCTTTGAGGTGAAGCTTCGGTCGAGTGCTAGGCTGGTAGGAGGGGAAATCAATCGACGAGGATGTTAAGCAACATCGACTGAGTGAAATGGTTAAGATATGTGTTACGCGCATGCCTAGCCATCGATCGCCTTCCTCGACGGAAAAGCGGTAGAGGCGGTCAAACTAAAACATGGCACCAGTCAATGAAATCCACAACAGTTAGTTTAAGCCACTTAGGAAGGTGTAGACTTCCTGGTTAGGGTCCTCGGGACGGTAAAAACCAATGGCTGGAGACAATCGGTGATATGGCTCAAAATCGTTCTCAATGGCTGGAGCAGACGCGTCCACTCCTTGTGACTTATGATTTCCAATGAAACTACATTGTTCTTCGTTATTACGATTCCTTTTCTCTCATATCCCTTTTTACTGTCTCTACTATGCATTTCTTCTCTTGCTTTATGTGGTACATGGAGTGTGGTGTCTGGAACTGCTGCACATCGGTGCAAGGTTCTATGCTGAAAACAGACAGACATCATTCTGGAGGTATTTCCCAAACAATTATTCCAACACAATGTTTGAAAGAGACTTACACTATGAATATAACTGCTTTTAGTCTAATGACCTTTCTGGCATGGTAAGGACCTGCAGGAAAGCATAGGCTCTCCAGATGACTATGTTGATCATTGGGTCATTACAATATCGAAGCTCAATCACCAACATGTTAGGGTCTTGCAACTAACAGTTTTGATCTATTCACTGATTCACCTAGTATTCACTGTACAGAATCTGTACAGTCATCGTTGAAATTTGATTCTCGTCTCCCTTGTGTGGAATAGTAATCGATTGAAATTTACTCACCCGTTTTTTTAAGTTAATTTTCTTTATTTCTTTTTCTCTTTTTTTCAATTTACAATGTCATTTCTAGAAAGGAAAACCTATTGGACGAAAACGTCATTCTGTTAACATTGATGATCAAGATCACGATAATGATGGTGATGGTGATGATGATGCTGATGATGACGGTTCATCCTCAAATCATGAAAATGCTGATGAAAAGTCAGACGGTATTCTTGAAAATACAGAAGATTCCAACAATACTGTAAATAGATCAAATCGTCGTAATGAAATAAAAACGCTTCAAACCAATATACGTACACTGTCAACAGTTGTTGTCAAACGCCCTCGTGGGAGACCAAAACGTGTTCATCATAATCGTGGCCGTGGTCGGGGACGCGGACGTGGACGTGGACGTCCTTCAACAATTGGAAAAGTTGATCATCATCATCATTCCGATGATTGTCATAGCGATGATGATGGTGACGGTGATGAGGGGGAGGATGAGGAGGATGGCAATCATGCCGATGTAACTGACGACAAATCATCAATGGATGATATATCATCGATAAATAAATTATGCGTTACTGTAGATGTTCATTATGATGATGAAGTTGAACAACTACTCCTCCAACCGTATAATCAACAGAAAAGATGTAAAGAAAATACTGAAAACGATAATAATAATAATAATGATAATCGAGGTAAGTTTTCATTTCCTTACAATAATTGTTGTTTAAGTATTGGTATTGTAGGGATTTTGTTTGATTGAATGGAGGATTTCATCATGAGCTGACATCAATTAGAGAACCACTGGACAACTATTTCGTCCACCTAGTTTGGGACTCGTTATCGATAGGCACCCACCGCCAGGGTTCGAACCCAGGACCTTCTGGTTACAAGGCAGCTAAGTTCGTAGAACATTCAATCGCTGGGACCTGATCCAATGGCCAGTCCATGAATTCTAACTTCTGTCAATTCACCTAGCAGGTTGGGCTATATCATCTGCATATTCTAAGTCAACGAGATTATTCCCGGATGGTAACAAGTCAATCCCTGAGTCGCTGAAGTCAGTTAGAGTTAAGTTCATTAGGATATCCATGATGAAATTGAAGATAAATGGGGACAGTGAGCATCCCTGACGGACACCACTAGTTGTCACCTCTTCACCTCCGTAGCCTCTCACCTGGCTGGATGCATGAGTTCGAGTAGAGCGCTTTGACCAGTGGGATGTATTTCCTCAGCATTCTCTTCACAGCTAAATATTGCCGTAGTACCTCTCAGTCGACTGAATCGAAGGCCGCTTTCAGGTCAAAAAATGTGACTTTTGTTGGACGCCTATGGTAAGTATGCCTATGTTTCAGAATCTGTCGAATGGTGAAGATATGCGCCATACACCCTCTTCCTGGTCTGAAGCCTGGTTGGTTCTCTCGTGCTTGCTCCTCCCGAGCACCACTACTTAGTCTACGCATGATTACTGAGCCTAGAACTTTAAATATCATGCATTGGTCAAGCTAAATCCCCTTGTGATGATTATCACCGAAAGACTTGGTAATCCCAGGGGCTAGAGAACTGTTCACTCTTTTTCATTATTTTCCAGATCCAATAATAAGTTCTCATTTTTTTTTCCATAATTACTTCATTTTTCTTTTCCTTGTACATCTCTATTCAGTTGCAGTTCTTTTGAATTTCTTTATTCCTTTTCTCTAAACTAATTGTATTTGATCATAGATGTCTGCGTTCTATCTCCTGTGGTATTATAATAGGGTAAGTAACACTAAGGTTAGACGTCGTCAGTTGAGTGTTAGGTGGTAAGGAGGGGGGAAGTCAGTCAATAGATAAAGTTGTTGAGTTACATCGATTGAGTGAGGATGGCTAGGACATGTGTTGTTATGCATTCTCAGCCATCGCCTTCCTCAGCCTACGTGGAATGTTAGCTGAAGTAGTAGGATGACGTCTATGAAATCTGTGACAGTTTGAGCCTTTTTATTTAGAGTCCTCAGGATTCTAAGAGCTGATGACTGGAGACAATTAGTGATATAATTCAAAATCGTTCTCAGTGGCTCAATCAATCCATGTAATCTATCTCCCATATTCATTAGACCCTCATGTTTTTTCTATGTAACTGTTCTTTCTCTCTCACGCCGTCTTTTTTGTCTTCCTTTGTATGGTACATAGAGTGTGGCAACTTGAAGTGTTGTACTTTTGCGTCAAGTTCTCTGTTAAAACACAACTAGTCAAAGTACGGTTTGGTTGCAGAAACTGTGGAGTTACTTTGTCACTTTAGACAGATAGTAGCTACTTTTAACTCTATATCAATTGTTCACTACTACTGTGTGTGTGTGTTGGTGCTACATGTAAAATGGAAATTTCACTTATCCTATACGGATTGAGCTGTCGTATTTCTGGATAGCATGACTCTTTCAGTGGTGCATATATTTGGTTTTAAGGGAGATTGTGGCTTGACCACATATTGTGGTGATATAAACTGCATTTTGTGCTTTCAATATATTTTCTGTGTGTTGAAGTTTGTCTAGCGGTTTAAAAGATTTCGTGGTGTGGGGCTGCTAGCCCCACGCCCAACCCTCCCTCTTTATCCGGGTTTGAGACAGGCTAGAAAACTAGCGAGCTAGTTCACTAGGCGAGCCGGTTCTTCTATACGAGTCAGAAACATGGCCAGCGTGTCACAAAAAGGATTTCTCACAGGCCACTGCAGACTTTCATTAAAAGCCGCCTTCGCTCCATAATGAAGATCAAACGGCTGACCAGAAAGAACAAACAACAAGAAATTATGAAGTGCAACAAACTAACTAAGAGGCGAACTCAACAAATATGCAGGAGAAAGTGGAGATGGATTGATCGGACATACATTGAGGAGGCCGTCGAATGACATCGCGCGCGATGCAGGCCATTGCTCGAGTGGAATCCAAATGGGAAGCGACGAGTGGGTCGTTGGTGCAAGGGTGACATGGAGGAGAGAGGAAAAGATGAGAGAGTTTGGTCGATCGTATGGTTAGCCATCTGAAGAGGACGGCAGAAAACAGAACAAAGTGGAGGTGTTGAAATAATAGAGAAGTGAAATTAATGATCACGGATGCACACAATAGGATTAAAAAATACCAGCATATGATTAGATTCCATAAAGAAAAAGTTGAACAGACTCTTACGCCAGAACATCTGTCAACATTGAATACTGCCATTAAAATAGTATGCGAACGACACAAAGAACGAAGACGAGTCGCCCTCAAAGGAAAACTAGCTAAGATATCCAAACAACCATCTGAAGAAACTCTAAATGATTGTGTAGTAAATCTATCAAAACAACCATTATCAAAAGCAGAAGAACAACTTCTTCAGAAAGGACTCAACTACAATACTGGTGACGCTTCAGTAACAGATTTTTGTGCTTCCTTAGAATCATCACTCAAAGTATCAAAATTAAATGAGGAAGTACAACAAGAAGTACGTCAATGTATCATACCTATACTCAAACAGAAAAGACATAATTCCCAACTTAGCACTGAAGAGCAAAATGCATTGAAGAAACTGAAGAATAGAAAAGATATAGTTATTCTACCGGCTGATAAAGGAAGAACAACAGTAATCCTGGACACAGAAGACTACATAAAGAAAGCAGAGGATTTACTCAAAGATAATAATGTATATCAACAGTTGACAAAAAACCCTATACAAACATTAGATAACAAAATCAAAACAACGTTAAATAAACTAACGAAATCAGGACAAATTACAGAACAAGATCAATGGCGAATGAAATCTAACGGACCTATTTTACCTCGATTCTATGGTAGACCGAAACTACACAAACCAAATATTCCCTTACGACCAATCGTTTCGCTTCCAGGAACACCAACATATAATCTATCTAAAGAACTTTTCAGGAAATTAAATTACCTAACAGAATCATGCGACCATTCTATCAATTCGTCAATCCAATTTTTAGAGAAAATCAAAAACATTCAAGTAGAAGACAATGAAATAATGGTGTCCTTTGATGTCACAGCATTATATACTTCAATTAGTCCAAAACTAGCAATAGAAACCATGCAACAATTACTCTATAGTGATGAAAACACAAAAACGCAATTATCAACTTGGATAGAACTCATAAAATTATGCCTTACAACATACTTCCAGTTCAATACTCAAATATATGAACAAATAAAAGGAACACCAATGGGATCGCCCATATCAGGATTAATAGCTGAAGCCGTTATGCAAAGATTAGAATTAATAGCTCTACCTATAATTAAACCGAAAATCTGGATACGTTACGTTGATGATACATTTGTAATAATTAAGAGAAATGATTTAGAATATACTCACAAATTAATAAACAACATATTTGAAGACATCAAATTCACGAGAGAAGAAGAATTAGATAACAAAATCCCATTTTTAGATGTCTTAATCAGGAGAACCAACACAGGAGATTTAGAGACACAAGTTTATAGAAAATCAACGCACACAGATCAAATACTCAACTATACTAGCAATAATCCAGTTACTCACAAACGAAACTGTGTGCAGACATTGTTTAAAAGAGTTCAGACACATTGCAGCACTCCAGAGCTGAAAAGAATGGAAGAAAAGTACCTACAAACGGTCTTCAAAAAGAATGGTTATCCACAAAATTTCATCAAAAAGTGTTTAAAGTCGAATCAGAACACCAACAAGAAACCATCATCTAAGACCACAAGGAAATTCATTCTACCATACATGAGGAACATCTCTGAAATAACAGCTAGAGTACTGAAACCGTTTGATATAGATATAGCACACAAGCCAGTCAAATCGCTTAATTCGATATTATGCAAACCGAAAGATCCAACAGAAAAAGGGGATAAAATTAATACCATCTACAAAATAAATTGTATGAACTGTAACAAGCATTATATCGGCCAAAGTGGGCGTCCCCTTCGAATTAGAATCCAAGAACATAAATCAGCCGTGAAAAGACATGATATGAATTCTTTAGTATCAATGCATGCAGACAACTATGGTCATCAGTTTGATTGGGATCATGTCAAAATCTTAAACAGAGGAAACACGAAAAGTGCCAGAGAATTCCTAGAGGCCTGGTACTCAAGCGAAAATGCGATTAACAAACACGTTAATATAGATGAAGTATACCAATTAATAAAAAGTAAATCAGGTGACCAAAAAGTTTAAAATCCTAGTCAATAGAAAGTGGTCAATACATATGTGAAGATAGTAACCAGGAGACGCAATTACATCACGCATGAGGAAATTTAAATCACTTCACTTCGTGCTAAATATGGCGCTGAAGATGTTGTCCGGAAGGACGACGAAAGCTTCGCGACTAAACCAACCAGCTCAGAGAACGCTTTTAATTGTAAAAGTGGAGGTGTGTTGTTGAAGCCAGCCCTATGTTCCACTCAGAACACAACGGTCTTAAAGTATTTGCAAACCTTACTAAATTTTACATAAGAAAATAGATTTCTTCATCTTTCATTATTATTATTGTTATTATCATAAATAACTTGAAGTATTTCTGGGTGTTCCACTCTTTTTGGTCATCTTAACAATGAATCTGGCTTCCTTTTGGTATTCAGTGAAACATGTATCTATCATTTTAGATACCTGCAGTCCCCAGATCACGAATACCACTGACAGAGGACGACGTTATAGTGGTCGTGGTCGTCCGCGAAAGTTCCCCAAATATATCCCTAGTCCTTCACCAGACCTATCTGATCCAGTTCCTTCGATATTCAATAACAATGACCAGTTGGATCAAGCTACTGCAGAACGTTTTATGTCAGAATTATGTATGAGTAGTTCAGCACGTCCACTTCTTCGATGTGGACTTGGTCGAAGTGCAGCTCTAACAGAATTGAATCAATCCAATCATGATGATGATTGTGATGGTGATAGTGGTAATATTAATTCACAGAATAATTTGGCTGTCAATTCTGTAAGTGGTGAACGTTCTGGTACAACAGGCCATCGAACACGATCAACAACATCGTCGTTAACACCTACGGTTGCTGGAGATCGGAAATTGTACGCCTTAGATCTTGTTGGCTTACAAGAGTTATTAACTCGTGGTGAACTACCTCAGGGTCCAGGACAAGTAGTTCCACAACTCAGGTTAGTTTAAACCTTTTATTATTTAATATTGAATCTTGAGTGAGAATTTCTTTAGTCCTTTATGTTCCCCTGGGAACATAAGTCGGTTTCAAACTAGAGCTTTGAAGTTTCGCAGGCAGTGTCGTTATTTGATTTTACGGGATGAATTTGCTAGCCTCACACCCGCATCGGGTGTAGGCGTGGAACATATTGGGCATGATTGGTGAGCATTCTTCTGTCGCACCACCGGTAAGTAATGTTGACATTAGGCGTAGAGTGTTGGGCAGAGAGGGAAAATCACTCGAAGAGGCTATAAAGTTACATAGATTGAGATGGTTAGGTCACGTGCTGCGCATGCCTAACCATCGTCTCCCCCGACGGGCATTACTAGCTGAAATAGGTGCAGGTTGGAAAAGAGTAAGTGGTGGCCAAACAAAAACATGGCATCAATCCGTGCGTCGGTGGCACAGTGGTTAGGACTCTCGCCGACCATGCACATGGTCCGGGGTTCGAACCCCTGCCGGCGCACACCCGATATCTATGGTATGCCTGAATTTGGGCAACCGATATCCATGCTGAAAATTCCACACTTGTACTGAAAATACGGTGTGGAAATCAAACTGTAAATCAAAAAAAAAAGAAATGCTTGACAGTTAAACTGAGTCAGGTAGGGAGATGCAGACTTCCGGGTTGGGGCCCGCCCTCGGGACTCTAATAATCAATGGCTGAAGACAATAGGTGACATGGCTCAAAATCGTTGTCAATGGCTTACGCAGATGTATTCAGTCTCTGTAATCTTCCATATTCCTTTCTACCATTACTCATTCTGTTTCACTCTTATACTTGTCAAAACTCTATTGATTCTCTTCACTCATTTTCTTGTCTACCTTAGTGTGCTATTTGGAGTGTGGCAACTCGAACTGCTGCACTTTGGTGCCAAGTTCTATGTTGAATCCAGCCAGCCAGCCCCGTGGAACATAAAGTGGCTTCAAACTGAATCTGTGAAGTTTCAGAGGCAATGTCGTTATTGAATTTTACTGGATGAAGTTACTAGCCTCACACCCACATAGGTGGCCGAAGATCAAACCCCCGGAACATATTAGGCGTCATTAGTGAGCATTCTTCCGTCGCACCACCGACGCTGTTGAATGTTGAAAAATAAATAGCAGGTGGTCAGTTGTTAACTTCATTGACTTTGAAAAGGCCCTTGGACAGAGTTGTCCACAAAGTAATTGGAACACTACAGAATACAGTACTCCAAGTTTTCATGAACTTCATTCAACAGCTATATATTACAGTTTCACGTATGAAGTGGTCCACAACGGATAACTCAGAGGAGTAAGGTAGACACAAGAAGACTCTAGAAGGATCTATACTCCTTGAATGATTTATGTACAATGTTACACAAACTTGAAAATTTAAAGGCGGAAACCAACAGATCGCTTTTGATTAACAGACTGTTATCGTTTGGGCAGTTACAGTGTTACCACACTCGCAATCGTAAACCACATCCACCTCGTCAAAGATAGGCATTCACATCAAAAACATCCACAAGAGAGAGAGAGAGAGAGGAAGCTAAATATCTTCTCAATTATATTTTCAAAGTGAAACGTAAAGCGACACGTCCAGTTAGTTCATAGAATGTAAAGTGAATAAAAGGATGGTAGACAATTTAAATATTATGTAACAAGATTAATGTAAAAATTTTCTATAACATTGAGAGAAATTATATTGAATTAATAATTTGCAGGTGAAATAATACAGGAAAACCCTCAAAATAATAATAAAATTCAATGTAGTTGCATTCTCTGAGCTGCATGGTTTATTTGCCCTACTAGGCAACATCTTCAGCGTGCATACTTCAATTCGAATTGAAGTGAGCTTTCAGATTTCTCCACAAGTTTATTAGTCGTCTCTCCTGGTGACCTGATCTTGAATGTGTGTGTTTTCACACCTTCTAGGTTACTTGTATTGGTATTGGTGCTGATTGTTTCCTTGACTTGAACTCTGACCCTTTGTGTGTGAGATTTCCTTCTTATCCGTTGGTAAATTTTGTCAATGTTAGTGTGTCTATTGATTGACGATTCACTGGAATACCAAACTTCCAAAAACCCTCTGTCGTTCTTTAGGTTTCCTCTTTCTAATATTTGAACGTTGTCCCAGTCGAATCGATTTCCGTGGTTGTCTGTATGCAGTGATATAACGGAGGGAGTGGATGTCATGTCTTTTGACGGCTGGGTTTGTGTTTGTGGATATGAAAACGAAGGGGACGTCCACTTTGGTCAGTGTAGTGCTTTTTTTGCAGTTGTTGCAACTTATTTCGTAGATGATGTTGGTTTTATCTTCTTTCGTTGTTGAGTCTTTTGGTTGACATAGAGCTAAGTGAAGTGATTTTGTTGGTTTGTGTACGACGTCAATTCCTTCACATTCTTTCATACTGTTTGGGACTCTTTAGTGGTAAGAGACCACTGGGATTCGAACACAAGATGCGCTTGTAGATAATTTGATCCCAAGAAACCATTCAGCCCTGAGGATCTAATCCATTGTCCAGTCAATTAAATTTCCATTTATACCAATCCATAGTTTTATTGCGCTAACCCACTATAGTCAATGTTATTGGCAAGTGTTTATCCCCACACCCATTATGACTTGGTGGACACTATTGGTGGCATTGAAACGGTAGAAGACGAAGGCTTAATAAAGGAATGTTTATTAGGAAATTGGTATCTCTACATAGCCAAATTATGTATACCTTATCTTCAATGCACCATTTGCACAGATTTTCCGTTTTGTGACACTTCCGGACTTCCTTTCACATCTCCCATCTATCTCTCTGCTATTGGATGTTCTTTTATGCCGATGAACATCTCTTTATATACTACTGATAAATCTTATCAGTAGCACTCACCACATCACGATTTCTCCTACTAGAACTCCAGGGAACTTTTTCGAGTAGCCAGTTACTAGTGCACATTAACAGATTAACTTTTAAAAGTATCAATTTGCAGTGTGGTGAGAGCTGTCTGCAAGCCAAAATGTGTAGACGACAATTTACGTCAATGTTCACGTCCCGAATCGGGGTCATGAGAAAAAAAATACAATTACAAACCTTAACCTTGAGGAAATCACCAGCCAGTCACAGCAGAATTAACGTGTGGAAATATGATTCGTAGATATATGACTCGATTTTCTGAGAAACGGCAACACAGAGATAGCAGAATGACCCTCAGCAAGAAAACAACCAATCAGAAGAGGTTGCTCCTCCGTTAACAACACGCTAATAATAATGCACATAAAAATCTATGAATATTTGTTGATTTTCCCCATAAACAATCTGTTGCCTGGTCCTTTTGTCTTTTGTCGTTACACTGGAAGTGGTAACTTTCTTCAATTATTACCGAAGTATATAACTGTAGAACTTGATGAAGATGGGGAATAGGTTATGGAAAAAGAATATTATACTTTGTGTTAACATTAATCTCAAACATGTTATTGTCATTGCTTTTATTGTGCTTTTTTTCAGACTCCTATTATCCCATTGGTTACGTAGTAATCGTCCTGGTAGCCGATTGCATCAATGCGCTTCAGATCTGTTGGAACAAATGAATAAAAAGTTGAAAACGCTAAAATTGAATACACCTAGTGTAAATGGTATTCACAATAATAGTAGTAATAATAATCCGAGTAATAAGAACAATGAAGACAACAATAATAATAATCTGGGTAATAACAATAATGTAGATACTGTCATGGATCAGGAGTCGACTACAAGTCATTATGGAAAGCGTAGACGACAATAAACAACCAGCATTGGTCATGTACCACCACCACCATCACCCTCCACGATGATGATGATGATGAAAATCTCCAGTAGTATTCGTCATATATATATTTATATTTGTGTGTAATGAATGTTTTATATGTATGTGTGATCTTTTTGTTTTGTTTTAAATGAAAATAAGAGTTTACGAAGTTTATTCCACTCTATTATTATTATTATTATTATTACTTCATTACACTTTTTGTACAGTAGTCAGATTATTATGTGAATGTGTACAAATTAACTGTCGTTGTTTTTCTTGTTTACTTTTTCGTTTGTTCGTTAATATCCCCGAACCCCCGCCCTCTTCCTGTTGTGTCACACACAAAAACGTACACATGCACACAGTCTGTGTGTGTATGTGATCTTATCACTCAGGCAGTGAAAAGCCAATGAGCAAAGTAAGCAGGTTATGTATTATCAGATTGTGGTTGACTGTTTTTACACCGCCGCCCCCCACCTCCTCTCCTACCTTCATATATATGTACATGACAACTCCATATTCTACTACTACTTTCTGCTTTGATTTCTCTGTTTTGTAGTTCGTCATGATCTTGATCTTGTCTTCTTCTATTCCGTCCCCAATCCACCCAACCTCCACTTTCTTCATTTTTCTATTATCTGTCTGTTTGTCTGTTTATTTGTTTGTTTTATATATAGAAATGAAATAAATTATTGTTGTTATTATAATTAATTGTGTAATTCATTTGTAATTGAAGTGACCGACCGTGTTTCATTTTCTTCATTTTGTGTGCATCGCGTGGTTCCGCTGGTAGGAATGTTCACCAACCGCTGACACCTTCATGTTCGGTTGTATTACCGCGCTCTGAGTGGGTGCACACACACTGGGTCAAAGATCCAACATGCACCCTATCTCTTTTCGTTTTTCAAAAGGCTTCAATAAATACCCTGCAAGCGAACAATGTCAAGCACTTTGTCTCTGTGTCCCGATTTACGGGATCACTTAGTAGGACCGTTTGAACCATGGCAAAATGGTTTTCTATCATGGGATCCTTCTGCGCTTTGCCCCTGTAGGTTCTAAATGGAATATTTGCGCTACAACCCCTAGAGTCTTTGGTTGATTCACCTAGACTTCTCACTGGCCACAGTGACCCTCCTACTTTTCACCAATACTCCATACATGGATCAAGTCAGTTTGTAGTAAACGATACGGTGTATAAGTCCAACACTCAGGCTGGTTGATTTGGTAGGTGAGTTGTTGTTACACACTTCTTAGCGATATCTGATTTCCATGGCCACTGTCTTGCTGTCTGGACTAATCAACACTTAATGTGATATTTTGATGACCGTCGCATTTAGAACCTTAATGGTACGTTTACTTCATCCAACAGTATGAGTTCTGCTTACTAAAAACAGTCCACTTAGCTCTGACACTCAATGCGTAACTCCGTTTAGTTTTTCATCCATTCACAGTTTTAAGAATAGATTGAGGATGTTTTCTCCGCTTCACTTTACCAGGATAAAACTGTTTACTTCTCAGAATGCCAACTATCCTGAGGTTATCTTATAATGATAATAATAATTTAGATTGCATATCCCGCAAAAGAAACGAGGCAGAAAAGTGATTCGTTAGTTAGCGATAATAATGTACCGTCAAAGTTGAAAATGGGTTCATCAACAAATAAAAACAAACAATTAACTTTCAAAATTCAGTTTCTCAAAGATTTGATTTGTTTCAGGCTTCTACAAATTAATTCCTGAAAATTAGTCTGATGCTCGCTAATGACTAGTGGCTGCTACACGACGAAGTCGTCTGAAGTTCCAGTGATTGGAGTAGACTGTGAGGACAAATACTCACCGATGATGCTGACTAGTGGTTGCATGCGTTGAAAGTCACAAATTAGGCGAAGTTGGAATTGATGACCTATCTGGTCATTGGATCAGATCCTAGTGGTTAAATTATCCATCAGATTTCCTTATACACGGAAGGTCCTTGGATGAAACTCCGGTGATTGCCTTTTGCTGCTGAAGGAAGAGTTAATCCAAGGAGCTAGAATGTAACAGCTGTACAATGCTCCCCCTGGTTTCCAGTAGTTCTCTAACTGACATCAAACTGGAAACAAACAATTAGTAATAATCATGGATATAACATGAAGATAGAGGCTCAAACCAGTGAGGCTCTTGTGGTGGTCGAAATAGCTTTTTCCACGTAATGGGTACATACAGATGCGACTAATAATGTCATTTTATAGTTGGAATCTACATTTTGCAAATCGATAGTGTTGGAAGAGAAAAAGAAAACAAGGAAGCTTATCTTCTTTACTACTTTAAGATGTTATGGAATGAGATGTTGCTTAACAACCACGCCTCATGTGGTCCAGAGTTCAGTCAGTCACCGGCGCACTTTTCTACCTCGCTAAGCCGGTAATAAGACTGGTAAAGAGGGAAGGTTGGGCATGAGACTAGCAAACCCCATCCTGTAAAAATAAAACACCGCAGCTATAGAAACTTTAAGCCTCTGGCTTGAAGTACACCACGAATGGTGTACGAATAAGCCAGAATTTTTCAAAATCTCTTTAGTCGTTACCGCAGACTATTAAATGGTAATGTAGGATGAAACACAAGAAGCAATAATCCCTATCAACGGGAAAAATTTGAAAAGAGTCACACCTTCAACTACAAGTGGTGGCACAAAGTGTGCAGTGGTAGAATCCCTGCGTCACATGGTTCAGCCCTGGCCACCGACGCATTCTTAAACTTCGCCCACTGAGCTGGTAATGTACCTGTAAAACAGGAAAGGTTGGGCGTGATGCCAGCAACCCCACCGCGCAAAAGTATTTTGCGAGGAGTAAGAAATGAAAAGCTAATCATCAATCATAGAGCCAGGTAAATGTCGATTTCAGAGGTGTACTTGGAAAGTAATGTTCGTCGGTGGCACAGCAGTAGAATTCTCACCAACCAACTAGGTGGTTCGGTTTCGATCCCCGGCCGCCAACGCAGTGCTTTTCCTAGTGAAGCCAGTAAGAAGACTGGTAAAAAGAGGGAACGTTGGGCATGAGGCTAGCAACCCTATCCCGTAAAAATAAAACACCACTGCTATCGAGAACTTCAAAGATCTATCTTGAAGCTCCACATTCCACTTGGAACGTAAAGGAAGAAAAGACACACTGGGAAACTAATAGAGTAACATTGATAAGATCTAAACTTTAGTAAGCATGACACTAGATAACACAGCAATCATATGAAACGCAAAGGAATGAAGATTCTCGTTCTGTCTAACTGCTTATCCTCACTATCGCTGTACTTTCTCCCGGATTATTCTTTTGTAAGCGAATTATTAGGATGTTTATGTATACATATAACTGAAATTGATAGATATAAGTCACGAACCCGCATCAGAGTGGTCATTAAAAACCGGAGAGTACTAGATAGTTATTTCATCTTATTTTGAGACTCTTTCATTGGTGCTCACCCACGACCCCACTAGAAATCGAACTTACAACCAATCAGGTTACAAGACCAAGTTCGTTGACCATTCAGCCACATCTGGGCTAGAATTCAGTGACCCCTGATTTTTAACTTTGTTTTTACTTCTTGATATAGTTCTTCACTCTCCCCTAATTCCAACTTCCCGCTATATCTCTAAGAAATCCACCCAATAGACATCAGTGATCTGAAAGAAGGTTGTTGATATTGTCGATTAGAGGAATTTAAATCGGATTTTTGTCGAGGTGAAATGGTTGATGGCGTGGATTGATGATAGCTCCATACCACGTACAAGTTGATAAAGCTAGAGTTTAGGAGTCATTGAATCTTAACTCAAGTGGCTAAACAGTCACTGGGATGGGGGTTGGTCTCATTACCTGTAGCTTCTGGATTCGATTTCTGATGGGGTGATAAAGTGCTCTCGGTTGATGACTCTCCGGATAGGACGAAATGGTTGTCCAGTACTAGTTTCCACTAATCGCTCTAACTGATGTTAGTTTTTCGTAATGAAAATCTAACAATACATATATAATTGTTTGGTTTTCTTTTGTATTCTCCAAAGAATAGAGATGTGTGAGTAGTTTTCGTGGTGTTAACAATTGGTGTTCTGTACTCTTTTTTGTCTCTATCTCTCTCTCTCTCCTATGGTGCGTTTCATTGTAATCTGCATATCCATGTGATGATGTTAAGCCCATTTACAGGGATTGAATTATTTCAATTAAGGGTTGGCTTATTAGTGAAACTTTCCCCTATTATTATTCATATATATATTCAATAAACATCACATGGTACAATTGCTTCTTTTGTTCTCTACTACGACTACTAATACTACTTTTATCAGTCACAGTAATATGATACGATACAAATAATTAGCTTGAAATGAATGATGAATTAAATAACATCGTAGTATATTGTTTTATATTATAGCATAGAAAATGGCTCTAAATATATACACATATAATTGTGTGCTATTAATAACTGGTATATAAATAAACTATTATATGTGTGACTATGTCAATGAAGTGATGGTAGCGAGTAATGGAATCCGCGACACACGTGTCATCCTTCTTTTTTGTTGATCATCACGGAATATACACATTTGATTATAGGGAATAAATAATAAAAAGGCAGATGCAGCGAAGAAAATTTTGCTTTTCGACGAAGTCATCAACTAGGCACCTAGTTGTCTTTGAACATAGGTACCTGTGTTCTATCTCCCGTGTAATGAGTGGTATAATAGGGTGAGGAATATTGAGGTTAGGCGAATAAATCAATTGACGAGGCTGTGAAGTTGCATCGACTGAGTGAGATGGTTAGGACATGTGTTACACATGCATGTCTAGCCATCACCTTCCGCGACAACGGGCAATGTTAGCTGACATAGGGTCAGGTTGGAAAAGAGTTAGACAGTGGTGGTCGAACCAAAACATGATTTCATCAGTCAGTGAAATCCACGACAGTTAGTTTAAGTCAGCTACGTAGGAAGGTGTAGACTTCCTGTCTCGTTGGGATCCTCGGGATGGTAGAAACCAGTGGATGGAGGCAATTGGTTAAGTGGCTCAAAATCGTTTTCAATGGCTGGTGCAGATGCATCCACTTCTTGTGACTTATAATCTCCAATGAAACTATATGTTTCTTCGAAATAACTTATTCCTTTTGCCTCATATCTGTGTTTACTGCCTTTGTTTAGCATTTCTTTTTACTTTCTTCTCTTGCTTTGTATGCCGAAAAGAGGGAGTGTGGCAAATTGAACTGCTGCACATCGGTGCAAAGTTCTACGTTGAAATCAGTCGGTCAGTCAGTGATATTGTTGTATTCACTAATTGCTGGTTTATATTGTCTAGGAGGAGGAGAGTGAAAGCTCCCCAGTTTACTCATTTAACTTATCGAATGAAATTCATGCTAAGTACATTCGCCTCAGCTATAAATCTTCTCAGTTATTTCAGCAACTCAAATAGACACAAATATATATATGAATCACAAAGATGGTTTTATTTCTCACTTATTCAAAAATCAATTTCTATCGAATTTACTTACGTGAAATTTTTTGGTAATAGGAGGAGTGTGGTTTTAATATCAAGAAGGCTTCGTGTACTTATGATAGTGTTCACAGCTGCTTACACCATGGAAACTGATTTCTTCTTGAAGTACCTCAAACAAAAGAAGCCTTACTTTTGTATGACCTCACAGCC